ATAAAATAGAAAATTTAAAAAAATAGATAATAAAATAGAAAATAAATCGCAGTCTGGAGACAGCTCTCAATTCAAAACTGCGCTGTGTAACGCAGGACAGCTGAGGAGCTGAAAAGCACAAAACAACTTTCCAGCCAGCTGAGCACAGCCAACAGCCCACGCAGCGCCGGACCCATGAGGGAAGGGATGCACAGACACAGCTTTGAGTTGGCAGGAAGAGAACAGCCCTTCTAATGACTCCATCGTAGCTGCTGCTGACCCTGGAGCTGCCCACCATCTCCTCCTCGAAGCCCTCATCCATCCATCATCCACACCCTGCCCTGCCCCAGCGCTGGCGGCGAGGGCACTAGCAGGACGGACAGATGCCTCCAGCTCTGCTCCTGCTTTGCAGGTTTCCTTCTCCGTGTGCTGACAACTTGTCCTATAAAATGGTAAAAACCATTTGAAAAAATGGTAACATCATTTTAGAAAAAGGCCCGGGACCTCTCGGTAAGCGTCGCTGCTCTCTGTCGGGGTTCTCCACATCCCAGAAGCGGCAAGTCCCTTCCTCAGGGCGCTTGCTGAAACTGTGCTGCCTTCCTCTCCCCCAACCACGATGTCAAATGCCAATGAGAGAATCCAGACAGGGAAAATCTCATGCACCTTCACCGACCTGAACAGGACAGGGAAATCCCAGAGCAGCAGCGAGGGGCCGCTCATCCCACCAGAGGAATAACTCCCACGTTTAGACAGGAATGGGAAGGGAAAAGGATGTCGGAGAGATCTGGGTCCTGGCTGAGTGTCTCAGGGCACTCTGAGTAGGGAAGACACAGGACCCCAGTTCTGGCTTGAAACACTTTGTCTGCTCTGGCTGTATCTGTTTCCTTTCCCAAAGCCCTTTGACATTTTGCTTTTTCCCTCCACAGCCATCACCAAGACTCAATGGCGAAGAGATCTTCCAAGACAATGTCCACAGTTAAACGCTGGAGAAGAAGAAAAATTATTTTTGTGAAGACAGTGACCCAGCTTCCCAACCTGAACGGCTCCCACCACAGTTCTGCCTCCACCTGCTGAGAGGGAAAGCGGGAGACCGCTCACTCCTGCAAGGGAAGCACACTCACCCCAACCAACCCCACCCTAGAACTGCAGCCAGACCTTTGAAGAGGTTAATAGCAAATGTTTATTTTCCTTTATTAAAGAGCAGGGTGAAACCATCCCGCTGTTAAAGGAGTGACTTCATATTAATTTACAAATTGTTCTCTCTGCTTTGTTTTCAATGTAAGACAACCTCATACAATGCATTTCTCCAACTCCTTTCATCTCAAAGTGCTTTACAAAGTGTCACTGGGGAAAAAAAAAAAAATCCCACAAACCCAAATGTCTCCTCCATAGAGAGAGCATCTCATCCCCAGTGCTGCAATGCAGCCACGTCGGTTGTGCAATGTAGCAGTGAACGGCACAGGACGACACGGAGAGATCAAAAGGTTGGGGGAACAGTCACAAGGAGAAACTGCCAGGGACAGAATCTACCTGAGCTGAAATCTGCAGCTAACTCCTCTGGAAGAGCTGATGTGAAATTGCCACAAGTCTGCAGACCACCAAAAGAGGTGCAGGTTTATCTCTAGCTCAAGATCCAGCCAGACTCTTACCCAAAGATGTATTTCCCAGGCTTTTACTCTGGATGTGAAACATATTCCTTTGGCGAAGAGTAGCAGAGGTACACGCTCCTCTAGCTAGGGCGAGCAGCATGAGCTGGGGCACTCGGCCGTGGGAAGCGAAAGTAGAACTGGGGTGTTCACAACTTGGGTTTGGATAACCCTCTCTGAGCTGAAGGAGGTGGATTCAAAGCCAGGAACTATTGTCAGGAACATGTTCTCCCAGCTCTGGGGATGAGGACTGAAGCTTCACGTAACTGCCAAACCTTGGCAAACAATACCGTAGGCCAGTAGGGCTACAAGGAAAGGAGCCCCCTTAGATTAGGTTCCAAACCAAAACTTTCGCCTTCTCTGCCTCTTCCTCCCTTCCCTGAACAAACCCACAGCAGCTCAGTTTTCTTCCACTGAAGATGCACAGTTCCTGCTATAGCATCTCTCAGGAGGATGAAAATCAATGGAGCTGAGGATGGTGACCTGGTTCTGGGCACCAAGTTGCTAGGATGAGAGTTACGATGATGGCAGAGGGACAGGGTGATGTTCCAGTCAAGAGAGCAGAAATGCCACTTGAGACAAAACCCCCAGGATGGGTGGTGGCTGAGCCAATTTCAGAGTTACTGAAAAAAAGGCGAAACTGGCTACAGAACACCATCATGGCTTTAACGCAGCTCTGAACAAACCTGGGCCTGAGCTCAAGCTACAGAGCACCTGCACTTTACAGCGGCTTTAGTGCCATCCTTCCCAGCACATCTGAGGCATCAGGAACTGCAGCCTCATCCCTCATGCGCACACAAAGATGTCTCAGATCTCCTCACTGGGGACAGCACCCCAGAAGAAGCCAGGTTTCCCAGCGTACGTGCATCTCTAGGTCTGCTGCAATACTGGGGAGGAAATCTCGGGGCCTCAAGACCGTACCCAGCCTTTGGCGACATAAAGAACCCACCCTGGGGCCTGCACTGCTACCCTGCGAGCAGGAACAGCTCAAAGGCACCTGTTCGGGGGGGAGGTTTGTATCTAGGAGCACCACAGGGGACTTGTGCATCAAGGATTGTCACCTGTCAAGGTCTGCATCTGCCTGTGACAACTGCAGCAGATTCTCTAGACCAGGAGAAAACATCCTGCAGCCAGCAGCCAAGCTGCAGCCAGCTGCGAGTTATACAATTTCCCTGCTGGCTTTCTTCTGCCCAAAGGCCCCAGGTACACAGCTCCGGCCTCTGCCCCGGCTGTTCCCCCACCCTGGATCACCCAGTGCCAAATTGCAAGATAAAAACAGAAACAAATCCCTCTTTGTGACTCAGTTGGCAGAAAGCTTCTCGTGCAGGCTCCTTTAAAAAGGAGCAAGGAAGTACTCGGAAACAGGCTGTTCATGGCTCTCTGTAAAATTATTGCGTGCTGCTGGCATTTACCGGGCCATTAGGTGAGCAAGTGGGGAGCAGGACCTCGGTGTACGGCTGGGCACAGCACCCTCCACCCCAAAGAACGAGTGGAACAGATGGACAGACAGCCAGCATCTGTCCTGAAAGGCTTGCTTAGACAGAAGGTCCAGGACTCCTGCCTTGCACAGGGCTGGCCTCAGACAAAGCAGACTCTATATAAAAACAAAAGTCTAAAAAAAAATTGGATATACACTGCATATAGGAGACTCCATAGAGGACAGTCTGTAGACAGCCACCCCAGAGCAGCCAGGGCCAGCCCAGCTCCCAGGGGGTAGCTTAGCGGCTGCATTCCAGTCACGGCTGGAGAAGTGGGACAGCTGAAGGTAGAATTTGTGCTTCTCGCTCCTTGATCAGCTTCAGGCAGAAGGAAGGCGGGGAGGAAGGCCCACTGCAGGAGAGGCACTGTTGGCAGGCTACATTTGACCAGCTGTTCGTACAGGAGCAGTTTACTTCCACGATCAGGCCTCTGCTTACATCTCACTGGGATAAAACCCAAGTTTGGCCAGAGACATCTCCCTCCGGAGCCGCATGACCTCCCAGTACATCAGCTCCACTGCAAAGCAAAATGGGGGTGGGGAAGAGAAGGAAAAAAAACACCAAAAAAAAAAAAATCAGTAAGCAAGGCACAGCTAGACATGACCTCATGTTATGCTGTGCTCTCAGCGCAGCCCCACCAGGCTCATCCCCAAAGTGAGGGAAGCAGACATGCAGGAGGGTCCAGCAGGAGCAGGACAGACCCATCAGGTCACCCCTTACCAGCCCCACCCCAGGGCAAAGCTCCCAACAAGCTGTTGAGCAAGGAATGGCTGCACCTATTCCTCCTGCTCATGCCTCTCTTTTGCCATTTAACTGTTCCTCAAAGACACAGGGAGCTCAGGGTACCCCAAGCTGGCCCCATTTTTATCACACTGTCCTAATTCCTCCCCATGTCCCACAGACAGCACCCCGACCACAGCCAGCTACTGTCTCCTCTTACCGTCCTGCCTCACCAAGCCCTGCTGGATATAGCGAATGTATGTGAAAAAGTTGCACACCGCTGTGATCTGTGGGAGAGAGAGAAAAAGGAGTCAGCTACAGAACTGCTTTGCCTTTCAAGAGGCTTGCACAGCATCCAGCAGGACAGCTCTTAGTGTTCAGCACCTGAGAAACAGTACTACATATCACCAGATGGAAAGAGACAGGAAGAAAGTTGCTAAAAAAAAAAAAAGCCATAATCCTGGGCATCTGCAACCCCATCCCAAGACACCCACAATACACACTGTGCAGGAAGTCCATCAGTCCATCCTACTGCAGATTTGAGACAGAAGCAATCACTATTTAATGTGTCAAAAAAGTCTGTGATCCTCCTTCAAAGAGGAGATCTTCCTTCCTTCGTTCTCCAACTGAATGAAAATCTTTGGAGTTAAAAAGCATGTGTGCAGGGAGGCAGGGGCATTCCTAACACGCTGGAGTACTTTAGTGCAAGCAACAAAAATTAGACAACAGGCACAAAACCAACTTTTTGTCTCAGAAGAGTCATCTGTTGCAGGATCAGCTCTTCTGATATGCAACTCGGGAAAGCATAAACTTCTAAAATGCTCCATTGAATCAGAGCCCTAACAAAAACATTAACAAATCAATCACCTTCTCCCTTCCCTCCAAAGAAAGCACAGCTTGTTCTCAGAACCATTTGAGTTGCTGATCTGTACCGGAACAGTAACGAGAGCCAGCATTTAAAGAGCAGAAAATTACCGTGTTTTACAAAAGAGAATTAAAAATTAAAAATAATAATAAAACAAAACAACCAAAGCCCTGTTCTGAATCAAACCGTGGAAAGCGAACACACTGAAGGACAGGTTGCCTGAAGGAACAGAAGGCAGAGCACCGGAGCATGAGACAGGGCTGGAGAGCACGAAAAAACTCAAGCCCCGCAGTTCTGTCAGTTTGAGGTCTGCCTCAAGAGCGCATCCACCTCAGGGCTTGGAACAATTCTGGAGAGCTGAAGCACCCTGGGAAGGTGAAGGACTCACCCTGGCCCTGCAGGATGGTGAAATGTAGTAGTAATTCCCAGAATCCCCCAGCATGATGCGGTGCTTGCAGGTCCTGGGGAGGCCACTCAGAGCACATTTCCTGCAGACAAAGAAAAAACACTCCAGCCTTCAGCAATCTAGTGACACAGCAGAGCACGGCAATTCAACAACCTCAAGACTATCCCCAAGAGATGGAAGTGGGAGCTCAGAAGCCAGACGTCTGTCAGTTAACATGAAGGAAAAAAACAAAAAACCAAAAAACAAACCCATGGCTGATAGGAGCCTTTTGATCCTAGGAAGATTCCGAAAGCAGCAAGTTTAGGAGACCTTAGGCTAAATATCTAGAACCATGAATTGTTCTACGCCCAAGCACACCAAGGCTGTACCCTTTCCCTGGCAGACAGCCCAAGACAAAACCACAGAAAATATTAAAGAAGTGAGGCTGAAGCAGTGAATAACAAATGTCATCCAGTATTTGCACATCTCCTCCACGTTCCAGGCAAGGCTTTTGCTGAAGGAGTTACTGCTCAGGTGTATCAGCTTTCCTGCTGGGATGCATACAAGCTGGCTAGCGACCAAACTTGGGCTCAAAACAGGTAATTCCAGCTTTTGAGCAGAATTTCCTCATGCTGAGAACTCAAAACAAGCCACATTGCAGCCTTTATGTTAGGCTCCTGATTCAAAGCTGAAGCCACATGAAGTGACTTTGTGCCAATTTCAGGGGACTTTGGCTTGTGGTCCCTCCCTTCATCTGCACAAGATACCTTTAAGAGGTCCCAAATTTGAGCACTGCCATGGGGAAAAAAAAAAAAAAAAAAAAAAAAAAAAAAACCCCCTGAGGGACCCTTTTTGTTTGTGTGGAAACCACGAAAAAAATCAATTTTTTTTCCCCCTTTATAAAAAAAAAAAAAAAAAAAAAAAAAAAAAGACTCCTGATGGTCCGTCTTGGCTTGGTTGGTACCACCTGGTGCAATCCTAGCTATCATGACCATAGCTAGAAGTAACCTCACCACAGCATTCGGATTCCTGCCATTCAGCACTCTACACACCCCAGCACATTTTGCCGGGCACGCCACCGGGAAAGCCAGTTGTCCTCAGCACCTCCTGGCCAGTATTTTGCTCTGATGCTACACAGGCAATGTCACATTGTGGCCAATGTCCCCGCCTGTCTGGGTTCTTCAAACTGTACAACTGAGGTCTGTAAAGTAGGGTACAGACAAGTAGGTCTCAGCTCAGGCAGGGACCCCAGCTTTCTCTTTTCTGCTCTACAGCATGTCCAAAGGTGGCATAAAAATCAGTGTTTTGCCTTGGGGGGACAAAGGGGAACAAATCTCTTTGGGGTCCTTTATTAGTCATAACAAGATTCCTTACCACCCTGTCTGGGTGGCAATTAAACAGAGTTAAAAAGTTAGCTTAGTTCAGCTCTAGCCTCAAAGCTGCTAAATTGCACTAAGTTAGTAACTTGTTAATGGATTAGAGATCTTTGATCACTGACTAAAAAATAAATACTTCACTTACGTTACAATTTGTGACCGGAAGCCACTGTGAAGACACAAAAAAATCAAAAGGAAACCGATAAGGATAAACACAGGATGGGTTGTTCTTGCAACAGGCCTGATAAGTGCTCATGGAACAATTTGTCTAGAGATGACAGAAAAAGCAGAAGAGAGTGGTAGGAAGCCCTCACGTGAGCAGCGTTTACTGTTACAGGAACACCCTCATCTGGAGCAGTCATATCCCCCGTTCTGATGGCAAGGTGACAGCATCACGTGGCAAAGAGATCTCTCCTAAGCTAGGCTCAAACCCACCCGGTGCAGCAGCAAGGTCAGGAGTGCAAGGTGAGCTCAAAACTCACAAGAAGGTGGGATAATGTAGCTCTGACTTAACCCTTTTCACCCTAGGTTATGCACAAACACCTTCAGAGAATATTAAACTAGTTCCTACCTTAAGGGGAAAAGAAAAACAACCCACCTTTCCCAGGCCAAGGGCACTAACACATCACTAGGTTATCCCCCAAAACAGTCACAGAACATCAGCTAAGCTCAGATAATTCTCCTTCTCACGTCAAAAGCTGAGCTGAACTATCACTGCTCACAGGCTAGGAGAATGCTCAGCTGAGTCTTTGCAACTGTTCAACTCAGCTGCCTGAGCCAGGCCTGGCCAAACTCCACGAGGCGGTATGGAAAGACCAGCAGCATGGAGAGGACAAGGGAGCATAAGCAAGGTTCCTTACTTTGGGCCACCGCACTCTCCTGCAGACACCTTCACCACAGGCAGCGTCTGGGAAGCAACTGGCTCAATGGTGAGTGTGTTCTGCTCCACAGCCACTCGCACCAGCTCCGACAGCTGCAACAAAGAGAAAGGACTGCAGCTACAGATGTGCAAATGTCACCTCTGTAAAGGCGCAACTTCGGTGCTGCCAGACTGCGCAGTTTTTGTCCTTCAGTACTCACCTCCTGCTTAGTGAAGTCTAGACAAGGTCCTACATCTTCTCGGTAAATTCTGTCCAGGAAGGAGCAGGATTTATCCAAAGTGGGAGATTCCTTCCAGGCTCGGAATTCAGCAAATAAAATGGAGTCGACCTGCAGCAAGTGTCCAAGAGAAGCAGGAAGAGGGAAGGTGAGCGGAGAGAGAGATACCACATAAGGAGGTCTCTCAAAACGAAACTCAAAGAGCAGGAAAGCTTTCCCCGTTCTAAAGTCTGCTCATTGCTTTTTAATGCTTGCAAACATTATCACTCCTCAGCAGCAAGGGACCCAGGACAGAGCTTGCTCCCATCCCCTGAGCCCACATGAAGGCTGCTCCCTCCATCCCTAACTGTTTGAAAATATTTCAGTCCTGGAGACTCTCTGGGACCTGACATTTAAACCCCCAGATGGATCACCAACCTGACTGACAGGGCATCTCCTGAAAAGGCCAGCAAATACTGTTAAAGCTGCTGAAAGGCAAAACAAACCTAAAGAAACCCTGCTGAGCAACACAAAGAACATGAGTGAACAAAGCTGAAAAAGGTCTGGGTTCTAGCACACCTGCTCCGTGCTACGGAGATTGCTCACCTGGTAGCAGGAGGCAGCTTCAAAGCCATGGGATGGAAAAATAAATCGAGAAAAAAACCCACAAAAACAACAAAAAAACAAAACCAAACAAAAAAAAAACTCCAACGAAATAAAAAAATGGAGGTTGGCATAAAAGGAAGCTAGAATTGAAAGGCTGGAAGTGCGAGAGGCAGATAGATGGGTCCCACCCCTCCCCAGTGCTGTCCAGAAAGGTTACCTGCCGCAAGGATGAGGAAGCATCTGCTCCCAAGGCCTGCCAGCCTGGTTCATAGGTGAGGTGGATAGCCTTCCCCGGGATGAGACAAAGGAGCAGAGAGAGGAGAGCAGGTAACCCCGACTTTGAGGGCAAAGGAAGAGACAGACAGTGAAGGAAAAGGTTTAGAGAGACAGGCAAGAATGAGAGGTAAAAAACAGGAGACAAACCAGAAGATACAAAGAAAGTCTCAAGTCCTCCCTTCCAGGGAATGAAGTGTGCTGCTCAAGACATCACAGGGCCACAAGCCACACCTTTTGGCTTCAGCTTGAGGTACAAAAAGGGAACGGAATTTGTGTCATTTTTAGGCTCAATTTAAGATGGGGCATGTATCTTCCATAGAGTGCCAAGTACCAACTCTCTGAGTGCCAGGTTCCCTTTTATCACCTCTCACGTAAGCTATTAAAGAATTTGAGAGATAGAAATCAACAAAAACCCACCCTATCCTTGATACAAAAAATTATTAGTTCCTTCGGAAGCTGTAGCCCTGGAATTTTAAACCCCAGGATATCTGCACCATGTGGAAGCTGCCTACACAAAGAAATGACAGCTCCAAATCTTTCACAAGCAGGTCACTTACAGAGCTAGCATTTATCCAAAGATCATCAACACGAGCTTTGCTGAGACTGAGCCAAGAACAGCAAAATGAACCACCCAACAGGCAAGTTATCTCTGCTTACTGTAGGCAGAGGGCAGCCAGTGGTTCACTGAACTGGGCTCTCGGTTTAGAGCTCCTCTGTTCTGACTGGAGGAACGGTTAGCGTTGGGAGAGGTTACAGGACCTTAAAGAGATTAAAACCTTTTTCTTCCCAGCCCTCAAAGCAGCTTCTAGCTGTCTGCATTTGAGTCCAGCTTCCAGCGTAGCTGGACCGTTCCCTGCTTGACCAAGAGAAACCAGTGCATCAGGCCTTCACGGGTACTGAACTGATTTTTTTCCTTTGGCTTTCTGACATAGCCTTTGTTCCACTCTGCCTGTGAACAGAGTTAAAGATCTTCATCTCTCATTGCTATTGCTGTCTCAGGACAATGGCTACAGCCAATGTTGCCCGAAGCATTTCATCCAAACTCTAGCAACAAGAGCACTGTGCAGAAGCTGCCGAGGCACACTCACTGAACCCACTGCCAAAAGCAGAGGTTACCAGGGCTGCCAGCACAGTCCTGTTTGGCGAGAGGAGTAATTTCACAAGTGGCCCTTCTGCGTACGTTCTCACACAAGCTGAGCGACCAGGTGCCTTCATGTTCCCTCAACAATTCTTCATAACAGAGGCCGTAGCTCCCAAAAAATCACTAGGAAGATATATTCCCCCACCACATTCTCAATCATTTTCATTCTTCCTGAACAAGTGCCATAAGCTGCCTCCTCTTTTCTCCCCAGGACAGCTGGGCACACATCTGGCTAGTGGAAAGTTCCCAGAGTGAAAGATCCTGCTAGCAGGATGAAGCATTACTTACACCCATGGCCACAGCAGGTAGGGGGACTATCAAAGGATCACCAAAGGGAATTAAACAGGGTTTGTCTGAAAGATATTCACAAATAGCTTGTATGCTTCTCTACCCACTTCCTCCCAGCAAGGAAGGAATTAAATATAATTCATTAAATATATGCTCTGCAAAGAAGAGGAAGAACAGTGACATGCCCAAGAACGCAGAACAAGCGGCAGAGCCTACAAGCTGATGGAGGTGTCCCGGTGTCCAAGCCAAACTAGGTAGAGAAAAGAAACAACAGCAAATCACAGCAGAACAGGTAGTAGACTCAATTGCCAAGATGCAACAGAACAACCGGCTCCTGCTCAGCAGCTCCTGACATACCCACTCTCAGCAGTGGTAACTCCGGGATCAGTCCATGCCCTCCAGGGATCCCTCAACTGCTTCCTCTAACAGTTGTCCTGACGCAGCCTTCAACACACTTCCCAGAAGGGGAAACCTCCAAAAATGGAAACCCTCCAGAGCCTGCCTCAGCATAAATTTAGGGAACAAGCCAGACGACTGCACAGGCAGCTTCTCCCAACGCTGAAACTGCAGAGCTCTCCAGGAAGCCCCAGTCAGAAGCCGCAAAAGTCCCTGAGCACAGTGACAGCAGTGGCTCCACGGCCGATGCAGTGAAAGGCCCTCACCCACCTCTCTGCACTCATGACTGACTGGCTCTGGAGTCACATTCTGGTTGGCAGCCGAGACCATTGCACTGCTGGTGCTTTTGTTTCGCCCGTGGCCCTTCCTGAAGACGGCTTTAGAAGGGCTCTGGAGCTGAGGGTGCAGCTCCCGGTTCGGAGAGGAAGGTGTGGATGTGATCACCAGTGTCTTCAGAGCTGTTACCTCTGCCTGCAGCATGTCGATCTGGGAGGAGATAAGGCAAGAGTCACAGCACCTTCAGCACCTGCTGGGCTCCAGCTTGCCGCACCCCACCAAACACCAGAGCCAGAGGGAACCAGCTACAAGCCCAGTCACGAAGCCTTCTCCCCCTTCTCCCAAATGCCCACCATCCCCCAGAATTTTAACCAGGGCTAAACAGCAGCTATTTGGAAACCCATCTTTGCCCCAGGTTCTTTTTAGACCCAATAACCCAGAAGAAACCTCTCTCTCTCCTCAAGAAGGAACCAGTTGGGCACCCCAGTGATGCAGCCTTGTCAGGAAATTCCAGCTCCCCAGCTCCCTGCTCTATCCATCCCCACAGCTCTGGCAATTAAACAGCATAGCACTTCCCTATGGTTCCCCTGGCATCCATTTCCCAAAGGGGAGCTGGATCAGCAGCCTTTTCCCCCTCACTCAGCAGCTGCTGGAGGAGGAACTGAGCAAATGCAGCAACTCAGAGAGACCAAGCTGCAGGCACTTTCCTCCAGCCACCAAACAGCACCACGGCCACACTGGGCAGGGATGACACCAACCTAGCCCAGAGATCAAGCCACAGAGAGCGCAGTTCTCACCTTCCCCCGTGCCTCCCTCAGCTGTTTCTCCGATGCCGCCTGTTTAGTGTTTGCTTCTCTCACCATCTTGTGCGCTTCCTGGACCAGAGAGAATTTCAGTTTGCCGCAATACATAAAGCCACCAGGGCAAGCCAAAGCCCTGCCATATCACATGCTCTGGGCAACCAAGCAGGGGGCAGACATCACTGCCACATCCAAGGGTTTTACGCTGTTAGCTGTGAAGACCCTTACGCCAGAATTTCCCAGAGAAGGTTCTGAGTGCCAGAGCCTGGAGTGCATTCCCCTTCCAGGAGTGTAGCTGGCTAAATGAAAGAGTTTAGCTGGCTGAGTCCAAGGTCATCTCTTTCACTGATACCAGCTGCTGTGCATAAAGCCAGAAGCAAAGGCCTGCCCTTCCTTGCCCTTGGGAACTGCTTTAAAGCTGAGGCTTTAACATTAGCACCCACCTGTGCTACATCCCAGCTGCATCTGCACCCAGTCCTATGCCTCTGTCACTCTGACCTCAACTCTCACCAGCTTGGCTTCCTGACTTGACCTCAGGCCTGTGTTGTCACTGCAGACTTGCTGGTTGATCACTGGACTGTTTTCTGACCCCGACTGCTGTCTGTGGCACAGATTCTCATCCAGACTTGTTGTTCCATATCTTGGCTCCTTGCTGGTGAGGTCACTGCTCTTGCCTGATTTGTTATTGCACTTTGCTCCCACTTCCCTTGCGGAGCGGCCAGCCCTCACTGCTCTGGAGCAGGAGCTGTAGCTCAGGTCAGGGCTAAATGGTAGGGGCCAGCCTAAAAGCATCTCCCCCAGGGAATGGGGGGAGCGTTGAGAGTCCCAGCTGGGGCCTCCCTGCAGTGCTGTCTGGAAGCAGTCTGTCCAAGGCCACCAAAGGAAGGTGACAGCCCTCAGCTACATTATCTCTGAGTTCTCCCTGAGCCCAGGCAGCCAAATCTCCAGGGGGGGATGCGCTCTTGGCCCTGACACTCAGCACCAGCCTGTGCTTCAAAGGTACAGATGGCTCTGGCTTTTGTCACTGCCCAGTCAGATCCACACATCAGAGCTGCTGGTAAACTGGATTTTGCCAGGATAGAGCTTGGCAAGAATCACATTGAAAAAAAAAAAACAAAACAACAGGCCTTCTGAACACTCACTGAAGCAGAGTATATGAGGACATCCAGCTTGTTCCCACCCCAAGCAAGGGCTGACACGAGCCAGGGAATCACCTCTACTACACAGCAGCTCCTGCACAGACTACTGAGCAGGTGCAGGAGAGGGACAGGAGCTAGGCTTAGCTCCAGCTGCTGCCATCCCCACATCTGGTTTTGCCGCCAGCTGTACAGACCCATAACTGCTGTGCTGTTTCTGCCACCCCACAGCCGATGGAAGGGGAAAGGAATGCATGCAAACGCTGCCCAGGAGCAGGTACCAGCCCCTGTTCCAAGGCTCTGCCTGCAGCACTGCCCAGCTCCACTTCTCCAAGTGGGAAAGAAGGGGGAAGGAAGGAGGAAACTGTGGGAGGAGATGGCTGGAAGTCCTTTCTTAAGACTTGGGTGTAAGCTTAGTTTAAGAAATGATGGGAAAGGAAGAGGGTGGTACCTCAAATAGGCTAGCTGTTAACTCCTCTAGTTCCTGCTCAAGTTGTTCTCTGACTTTTGACAGTCTCTCGCATTCTTTGTCCTTCAGCTTCAGCTCCTGTTGAGGAAACAGAGAGGGACGCATGAGCTCATAGCAGGCCCCAGCAGTGATGATGCCTGCCTTCCCCCATCTGCCCATCACAAAACGTTTCCTCCCCACCAGAGCATCGATCCCCGCTCCAAGACTCCTGTCACTAACTCTGTACGATGCTCTGTGTCACCAAAGGCCTCCCTCCGCAAGCTGTAGCAGGCTTTTCAGGCCGCCATTAGCAAGGAGGCTTCCTAGGAAGCACTGCTTGCCTCAAGGTGCTTTCTGCAGCAGGTTTCCAGGCCTAATTTGGAAGTTGGCACAAGGCTTTGGGTCAACCTAGCAACTGATATCCTGCTCCAAAACACTTTATGGTCACCTCAGCTCAACCTCTCTCCTCTTCTGCCTGCTCCAGACTGCGGCACAGCCACATTCAGACCCTGCTCCCCTCAGCACTGCCTCTAGGAAAACCTCCACTGCTCAAATCTGTGCCACCATCCTCAGGTGTTCTCACAAACTCTGGGGCTTACCTTTTGTGCTTTGTGCAGCTCTTCCTTCAGGAATTCAGACCCCTTTTCACGGATCTCCACTGAAGAGCTGCGTAAACGTGACACATTGAGCTGCTCGGTGGACTGGGTCTCATCCACACCTCCAGCATCCTGGCACCCAGTCTCTGGCTCCTCCTTGCTGCCTTTGGATGGCATGAGTGTCTTCCAGTGTCCCACAGCTGGCTGCTTCTGGCTGTCTTCCTCAACACTGGTCTGGCTGTGGGGTACCAGCACAGTGAAACTTCATATGGGAGCAATTCACAGCCTTCCTCTAACACTCACAACACATCCACCATACAAAGAGGACAGGAAAGGTTTAGAGGAGCTGCTTTGTGCCCAGCAGCACCAGTTCCTTTACCCTGCATGCAGGTGCTGCCTCCCTGCTGAAGTGCTTCACCATTTCGGCATGGATTGCTTCCAGACCAGCAACAGATGATGGTCTAAAAGAAAGACTTTGGGGGAAATCTCCACGCCTACTGTGGGATCTTCAAGAATCACACCAAGTTGAGTTTGAGGAGCCCAGCTTGCATTCCTTTTAAGAAGGGCTGGTTACTCAACAGCAAGCACTCCCTCAGTTAGCTAATTCTGGATACACAAAACTTAGTAGGCAAAGCAAAGCTATCAGTAACTCCTGGTTTACCCTTCTCCAACCAGCATGTCCCAGATATTACTAACTCAGAATAAAGCAGAAGAACTAAAGACAGCTGCTCCAGGATTCCTGTTCTCGTTGGCTTTCAGAAACAGACTGCAGCTGGCTCATTCAGGACTCCAGTAAACCTAAATTCAGAGACACTGCTTCCCAAACTGAATGGGAGTGACAAGACAGTACAGCCCTCTCATTCCCTAGCAATACCCAGGCCCTAATCCCCTCCACTGCAAACTCAGCCTTCCTCTCCCTCCCACTCCCGCTTCAAAGGGCAAAACTCCATTTTTAACCTACTGGTTTCTGACCAAAGCCCAAAGCCAGAGGTGTCTATAACACTGTATTCCCACTGAGTTGGGATGAAGCCCTATTTCTTAGTTTCGATGGCTGTCAAGTCAAGATATAACAGAGGAAACCAGAAGAGTCACCCAGAACACTGATCCCCAGTGCTCAGCAGGATTTTGTCACTGTGAACAGACTAACGCAGACCCTGGAACAGGCTTTGCAGCTGCTGGCATCTTGTGAGAGGAAATCATTGCGTTGCCTACGTGCATCAACCCTTCTCCGTGCATTGAGCTGTCCTCACGTGGTCACTTGCGATCTGAAGTCACCAGGAGCACGATCAAGCCTCGCACACATGGAAGCGTTCTATCGTGTCCAGCCACTCAGCAGGACGCACACGCTGCACTACAGATTAACCTGCTGCTGTTATCGCCGGGTCATGCCTTAGTTGAGCTGGGGTGCTGTCCTCTTCCACGCACAGCACCAATCCCTCCACCCACACACTCCTTCTGGCTACTGCTTCTTGCCCACCACCTTCTCCTGCAGAGAAGCTACCACCTTCTTTCCCTTAGGTTCACTTTCTGTTCTTCCCTTTTCCCAGTCTCTGTATTTTCCTCTCCTGAATTTTCCCTATGTCCTGTATTCCAGCCAGGCCACACTCTTCCCCCTCACCCTGACTCCAGAGACCGGGCTCATCTCCTCAGCCACATACGGCTCAAAAAAGCCTTATTTCTCCCTCATCTCACCCAAGCATAAAAGGCAGTCAAACCACGAGACCCAACTGACAGGCCCTTTTCTCCTAGGCTGTGCCAACTGGTGACAGCATGCTCCTACCAACTTTCACTCAGACTGTCCCCTTCCTCCCCCCAAAGCTGTCCATGAGCAACAGTTGTCCACAGTCACCTTTCAAAGAGGGAAAGAAGCAGCAGCTGCCACCTAATTCGGCTCAGGTACCACAGGAAAAGCACACACGGAAAATTGTCTGAACCCTTGGAAGACGAAGAGCAGAAGATCACCCCTCAGGCCATGCTATGCCAGCTGGAAAGCGTTTCCACTACAGAGCTGGGGAAGGGGGGCATGCAGTCGGGATCATGGATTCTGCTGAGCAAGAACAAGTGAAAGGAACAGAAGGATGGTCACACAGCAGCGCTAAGAAGGTAGGAAAGGACAGAAACTAACCAGTGTCCCATTGACTTCACCTGGTTTTACTGAACATTCACTGGTAAGAGCTAGAAGGGGAGGCTCACACTACTAAATTTGGAAGTGTGGAGAATAACATAAAAGGGTGCCTTGGGGAAAGGGCAAGAAAATAAAATTAGTTTTGGCCAGACAAAAAAGGACAGACAGTGCCTCCAAGCAAAGATAATTCATCTTGGGCCATTCAGCATGCTGGGACCGCTTGATAAAAAGCCATATGCACAAACATGGAGGGATACGCCTGAATGAGAGAGCCACGACCAACAGGAACTCCCAGACTGGGCAGGCATCTACAGTTCGAGGTGGGAGAGAACGTGCAAGTGCAAACTACATGGTGTTCAGAGTGTGCAGAGCCTGCTCCATCCGGTTAGTCTGCTCCGCTGGCATGTCTGATTAATCAGAGGAGAGGCAGAACTGCACAGAAGAAATAAAATGGTTAAGAAAGGTCAAGATTAGCCACCATGGATCACTTACCTAAACAGTGACATCGCTAAGGGGATGGGGAGGTCTCCCAAGGCTCCAAACACTAAGGAAGGGGAGGGAACAAGTACAAGAATGACGCAAAGGAGGGAATGAAACCCATTACAGGAAGGTGGAGACTTAATGAGACCGATTCATCCCAGAGATCAGGGGGTTGTCTGCAATGGGTTTGCCACAGGGCATGGGAAGCACGCCAAACAGAGAGGTCTGCTCAACAGTTCCACCTTTTCTCAGGCGGGAGAGTGGAAGCCCTCTCAGCTGTGGACTTTTGAGACTAGACACAGTAAACTGCAGAGAACACAATCTCTGCAGGTGCTCCTTCATTAGAGAGGAAACACAAGAGACCGTGTGAGTCCTAGCACCTCCAGCTTCTGTGATCAGAAGGAAACAAAAATCAGAGCATAGAGGAAAAGCTAGATTCAAAACGAAGCAGCTAGTAAAAAAATAAAGCAGCAGCAGCAGCAAGGAAAAGGGACGTTTCAACAGCCCACTAAACTACTAAGTCAGCCAATCTAACCTATACGTAACAGGAAGAAAAAACCAATGTTGTTTCTTTATGACTCTTGAGTTCTCAGATGAGAGCTGTTTGCCTTGGAAGACAGGTATTCCAGTGTATTTCCACAGGCTATGGAAGAAAACTGGAGGACACGGAGGAATGAAACAGTGCCACCCACACTCTGTAATGCCAAGGGACCTAAAAACTCATCCTGAAAAATGATCCCATCTTCTGTGATGGAATAGCGCGTTCTCCACACCATGCAAACAGAACGAAAGCCTTGGCTCTGCTGGCTTCTGCCCAGGCAAGTCCCTCTCTCTCCAAAGCTGGGGCTTTCAAGTACACCCCCCTGAGACCAAAGGACCACCACACCCAATTGCACTCTCCTGCTATTGCTGGTCTGACTGGTGCCTCTCTTTCTTGGAAAAAATGCATCATATCCTAAAGGTCTCACACTGACAGAAGAAATGCAAACTTCTACAAAAAAAAAAAACAAAAAAAAAACCCAGACGAACCCAACACCCCACAACCTTCTAAAGTTGGATTCTGTAGAAAAAGCAAAAAAATGTGCAAGATCCGCACTTTTTCCAGCGGGCCCCACATGTTTCCTGCAGAGCTGATCCGACAGGGTTATTTCCCGTACAAACAGCCTGTGGCTCTCTCCAGATGAATCTCTTACCCTCAGACTTGTGAAGGACACCTGACTTTTCCATCCCGATCGGGACAGGAGCCTGACCGCTGCTGTCCCGTGCTGCCACGAATCCACACCGGTCCGCATCCCTCTCGCCACCCTGCCAGCTCCCAGAACCTTTTGCAAAGCGTGTGGTCTGTCCTGTTATAGTGGGACACACAACGTCTGGTTTTTATATTTGTCTCCATCACCTTCCAGTGTCCTTATGCCTGCGGGTGGCTGGTGAACGCGGTACCTCCTTCTTACAGAATCACAGAATGGTTTGGGCTGGAAGGGACCTTAAAGATCGTCTAGTTCCAACCCCCTGCCTTGCATGAGTTTCTCTCTCCTCACAGGGCTTCTCTCCCCTCTGGAGAGCCCTGGCTGCACCCTCAGGCTTTCGGCTGGGAGGACACAAGGTGTTAAACCCAACAAACCCAAGGGAAACCCGGGAGGAAACTCTCTC